GCTCCTCTGATGCTGCCTGGCCTGCTGTGTTCCTCCAGCTCCACACTGTGTTGTCTCTGACTCCAGCATCTACAGTTCTTACTATCTCTGAGTGGAGGTGTAGAGTTCTCTTCCTCAAATGGCATTCAATGCTTATTCAATTCTTAAATTTAAAACGGAGATAGACAATTTTTTTAATGTAAAGGATATCAAGGTATACGGGTCCAAGGCAGGCATATGGAGTTAGGCCACAAGTCAGCCAGGATCATACTGAATGGCAGAGCAGCTCAAGGGGCTGAATGGTCTACTCCTGTTCCTAGGTTAAAAAGAAAGCAAAAGTGACATCAGAAACAGCTTCTCCACATAGTGAGTGGCTACGGTCTGGTGTGCACTGCCTGAGGGTGTGGCAGAGACAGTTGCAAGCGAAGCATTCAAAAAGGAGTGAGACCAAAAACCGAAAAGGAAGAATGCTCAAGGCTTATAAGGAGAAGGCAAGGGAGTGATATTAGGTGAATTGCTCCTTCACAGAGCTGGTGCAGGCATGATGGGCTGAATAGCGTCTTTTTTCTGCACTGCAACATTGCTGAGATTCTGGGTGATAAGAAACTAATGAGATAGTAAGAACTGCCGATGCTGGAGTCTGAGATAATACAGTGTGAAGCTGGAGGAACATAGCAGGCCAGGCAGCATCAGAGAAGCAGGAAAGCTGACGTTTCGGGTCAGGACCCTTCTTCAGAAAATAAAAGCTTTCCTGCTCCTCTGATGCTGCCTGGCCTGCTGTGTTCCTCCAGCTCCACACTATTGTTTGATAAGAAACTAATGTCTGCTGAGTGCCTGAAATTGTTAATTCACGGGATTGGATTGAGGGCGCATGAAGGAAACAGTGTAACACAGCGTCCAGAGTCCTACAGTGCTCCTTTTAAATCAAATTAAATTTCCAAGGCATGGTGGTGATGTTGACCCTATAAAAGCCTCTCTTGAAGCTTCATGTCTACCTACCTCATAGTTGCGGACCACTCTCATTCCTCTGCCACCGCCTCCGTAAGCAGCTTTAAAGATGATCGGGTAGCCATAACTGTTAGCAAATTCTTGGGCCTCTGCCAGCGATGTAATAGGCGTTGCAGTGCCTGGCACAACAGGAACACCTAAAGAATGAAAGGACAGTGAAATGGCCCATTTTGTCACAACATCCCAAATGTGGTCCTTTCAGGACACTCTGCCGCCCAGGTGACCAATGGGGAAACTGGTCCTAAGGTCCTGGCCACCGACACTCCAACTTCCTGGAACAGCAGCACGAGATCAGGTGGCACAGTGGTTAGCACTGCTGCCTCACTGCGTCAAGGCCCGGGTTCGATTCCAGCCTCGGGCGACTGCCTGTGTGGAGTTTGCACATTCTCCCCGTGTCTGCGTGGGTTTCCTCCGCGTGCTCCAGTTTCCTCCCACAGTCCAAAGATGTGTAGGTTAGGTGGATTGGCCACGTTAAGTTGCCCCATCGTGTCAACAGATGTGGAGGCTAGCTAGGTTAGCCATGGGAAATACCGGGTTACAGGGACTGGGTGGGATGCTGTTTGGATGTGAACGCAAACTCAATGGGCCGAATGACCTCTTTCCACACTGTAGGGATTCTACGGATTCTATGTGAACATGCTCCAGCTCAGGGTAAAATGATTTCTTTGTGACTTTCTCAAGAACAACAATCTGTTTTTTGGTTTTCAGGGGCTCCTTTGTCATTTAGAAGTTTGGGGGTAGGTGGGACCTTACAGAAACCTAATTGTTACAGGACTAGACAAGGTCAATGCAGGAAGAATGTTCCTGATGACCTGCGGAGTTCAGAATCAGAGGTCACAGTCTAAGGATACGGACTAGACCATTTTGGACTGAGATGAGGAGAAATGTCTCCACCCAGAGTGGGGAACCTGTGGAATTCTCTGCTGCAGAAAGTGGTTGAAGCCAATACAGTAACTGTCTTCAAGGAGTTAGGTATAGTTCTTGGGGCTAAAGGGATCAAAGAGTATGGGGGAGAAGCGAAAACAGGGGACTGAGTTGGATGATCAGCCATGATCCTATTGCATGATGGAACAGGCTCAAAAGGGGCCGAATGGCCTACTCCGGTTCCTATTTTCTATTTTTCTGTTCTCACCAACTCCTTTATTAAGCAATGCAGTCACAGAGTACCATCGTTTTCTGCACTTTTTCTTTTAAAAAAAGTTCCTTCTTTAGACAGGTAAAATCATACAAACACCAAAAGATTGTAAGCATATATTTAGGTTATTCCATCTTTTATGATGAATTTAATTGAATCTATTAGTGAGTTTTTTTGTTAATTTATTATTAGCAAACCTGCAATACACTATCTCTTGCACTCACTAGTTAAATAGACACCTTATGTAAGCTGATGCCAGTACCAATTTTACAGGATTTTAATCATTTTTTTTTAGGGAAAGATATAACATGTAAATAACTTCTGAGAAACCTCCAAAAGTAGAATGTAGGGTGTTTCTGTCATCTAAGTAAACAATTTGAAGATTATCAATTACTTTACATGCTGTGATAAAATACATGTTAGGCCTCAGCTACCCTGAGTGCCTCCTCTTTATAAAAACCGAAAGAACTGCAGATGCTATAAATCAGGAACAAAAACAGAAGTTGCTGGAAAAGCTCAGCAGATCTGGCAGCATCTGTGAAGAAAAAAATCAGAGTTAACATTTCGGGTCCAACGTTCTGAGGATTGGTCACTGGACCTGAAACGTTAACTCTGATTTTTTTCTTCACAGGTGCTGCCAGACTTGCTGAGCTTTTCCAGCAACTTCTGTTTTTGCTCCTCCCCTTTATGGTGAACTTTCTTGTGTGCTCTCTCCTCTTAGCAGTTTGTATGTTATGAGTGGTTCTAAGCTCTAATAAACTTGGCTAGTGATGGATAAAGTTACACAGTACATAAAGGCCTGTCTGGTACCTACCCAATCACTAGCGGATCAATATGAGGGTCAGCTTCAGGATGGCCTCAGGACTGGCCAGAGTGACTCCTCGAATCACAGTTTCACTCTCATCCACCCTCGCTATTCCTCCAATCATGGGTTCACTCCCACCTACCCTTGCTGCTCCTTGAAGCACAGGCTCTGTCTCTGAAGTAGCAGCAAGATTGGGGGAGAGGGAACCAGTGATTGGTGGAGTTGGCATAGCGACCGTTAAAAACCAAATCTCTGATTGGTGGTGCTGCTCATTGTTGGTGCTGTCTCTCCTTGGCATAGTTCCCTGATTGGTCACCCCCCTCATTTAACTTTCAGGGACATGTTTGCCTGCTGCCCTCACCTCCCATGTATTATCAGAAGTGTACCATGGGCCAGCTCTGCATTTCACAGAGGGGCCCTGCATGGTAAGCTCTTTATAGCTACCAATATCCCAAGGATTATCACTGACCGCAAACTGAATTGCACTAGCCTAATAATTACTATGTTTGTAACAGCAGCTCAGAGGCTGGGAATTCTGTCATGTCTAAGTCACCTCCAGTCTCCTCAAAAGCCTATCCACAAGTGTGTTAGAGTACTCTCCACTTGCCTAGATGAGTGCAGCTCCAACAACACTCAAGAAGCTTGACCACCAGCCAGGATAAAACAACTCACTTGACTGGCACTACAGCGACTACCTCCAACATTCACTCCCTCCACCATTGATGCTCAGTCGCAGCGGTGTGTACCACCAACAATGTGCACTACAGCAACTCACCAAGAGTCCTCCAACAGCACCTTCCAAACCCATGATCTATGCCACAGCTCATGGATTGCAGAGGTTCAAGTAAACAGCTCACCAGCACCATCTTGAGGGATAAAAAGGACTGGGCAATAAACACTGGCCTTTCTACATCCTAACAAAGAAAAAACAAAGGATTTCAAGTGCAAGCTAAGCCACGCAAGATACAGGACCAACAGAAAGAATCAGTGACAACACTGCCATCTGATTTGCAGCATACCAAAATTTCCACATTAAACCACACATTTGTCAACCTCTTGCTTCCGAATTTTTCAACACTGCAAGTTCACCACTAACCATGTGTGCCAGTATTCCATCAGCAAGCACCCAGTGTTTTGCCTGTTCCAGATTTGTCAGGATGATGGATGGGCCACAGGTATGCAAATTCAGAACAAGCAGAAGAGATACTTTAACGCTGTCTTTCCTCCATTTCAGACCTCCAATAGAAAGCTGGATAAATACTTTAAAAGGAGAAAGTTAGAGGTATAGGATAAGGGGGTCAGGGAGGCAGGGATTGGTGGGGGGGTGTGGGAGCCGGGGATGGTGCAAGTAGGTGAGGCTGACAGGGCAACTCTTTCAAAAATCCAACACAGAGACAGTGGGCCAAATGACCTCTTTTTGTGTGAGCTTTCTATGATTTTTTGCCCAGATGCAGTCTAACATAAGAGCCTTGTTGATCCTATATCCATCTGCAACTTTCCTTTGTGAATCACACTCCAAATCATTTCCCTCTCTACCCAAATCCTGCTTATCCTTGGACAGTGGCTTGCCTCTTGCCCACTGGCCACAGTGCTTCATCTAACTGGTTGCTCCCCCCGACACGATATTTGAGCTGATTATTCCACCACTGGATCATCACATCCCATGGTCAACCCCAATATCTACTTTGCCACAGGGCTGATGTCTTAACAGACCAGTATCTATTGTTGAATTAAGTAGGAAAAGATGTTCAGAGATTTACAAGGGTTGTTCTATAAATCTCTGAATGCACGGGTATCTTTTACAAGTCCTCAGTGAAAGCTCATGAAGGAAGGCGACCTCTCACTGACCAACAGCCTGTGTAGCATGTGAATTTTGTTTCGTTTAATAACCCTTTTCCACCTTCTTCACCTCTTATTGACTTCACTCTTAACTGTAGCAGCCTTTCCCACCCATTTCATTTGGTCTCCCTGTTTTACCAGACCCCTCACACTTTTTTTTTTTTAATCATTTCGGCTTGGATCGGTGAACTGTGAGCAGCAGCCTGTTTGTTATTAGAAAAAAAAGAAAACAAACAACTAATATTTGTTTGAAGCCAGACCTGGATCTTAATTGTAGATTGAAGCTTGTTCAAAGAATGCCATAGATGTTTCTGTTCCGGATATGCATCATTTTCAAACTAATGGCAGATGTTAAGAGTTAACAGAATCCTCAGAAGAGGAAAAACTATTCCGACAAAAGGAAAGCAAAGTTTAAGTCTGGAGGATTGTGTCTGTGAAAGCTGCAAGGCAGAGATTCGATTGCCCCTAGTTGTCCTCCCATTGTCAACTTACTGAAATAACAGATTCCGTTCTCTGAACTAAGTAAATATTTCTCAGAGTCGACTGGAAGTAATTTGCATGCTCGGTACCTTCAGAAACCAGCAAGGTATAATTCCATGTGTCTGTGATGTTACGATTATGGATTCTGCTTATGCGAACTGGCCAGTTACATTTCATTTATTTTTTTCTTTTGATTTATCTATTAACTATGAGTTTGTCTGTCTTTGTGAAAGTGGAGGGCTAGAACCAAAGAAGACTGAGTTTAAATAATAGAAATTAATTAGATTCCCTTGCTGTTTAACTTTGCTCTGCTAAAGCGACTGAATTATTAATAAATTGTTAATTTGTTTGTTTGTGCTATAAACTTGGCGTCTGGTACCAGTTATTCACAAAATCTGGTACTGGTTATTCAAAACGTCTGGGTAGGAACCAATGGGGTCAATTCTGAGAGTCACTGAGCATTTTAATTTTACTGTGTTGTGAATACAAGGATAGAGGGGCTGATTTAACTTGGCTGCCTATCTCATGTCTCAACAGCTTTCTTATTCTGGGAGTGAGCCAAGCCTGCAGCTATTCCAAAGGATCTGCCAGAAGATCACTCACAATACCCTGTACTTGGAGTTGATTAACATACAAAATAAATAAAAGAAAGGCTTAAAAAGTTTTATTGCCAAGTGGGGACTGCTTCAGCAGCTTTCTTTCAATTGTAAATTGAACTTTTTCAATTATATATTGATATAGAGTCAAACAATCATACAGCACAGAAACAGACCCTTCGGTCTAACCAGTCTATGCTGACCTTGTTGCCAAACTAAACTAGTCCCATCTGCCCACACTTGGCCCATATCCCTCCTAACACCTCTTATTCATGTACATATCTAAATGCCTTTTAAATGGAGTAACTGTAATCGTATCCATCACTTCCTCTGGAAGTTCATTCCACACACGAACGACTCGCTGTGTAAAAAAATTGTCCCTCATGTCCTTTTTAAATCTTTATCCTCTCACCTTAAAAATATGCTCCCTAGTCTTGAAATCATCCACCCTAGGAAAAAGACACCTGCCATTCAGTTTATCTATACACCTCATTATTTTATAAACCTCTAAGGTCACCCCGCAACCTCCTACACTCCTGTGAAAAAGTCCCAGTCTATCCAGCCTCTCCTTATGACTCAAACCCTCCATTCCTGGCAATATCCTGGTAAATCTCTTCTGAACCCTCTCCAGCTTAATAACATCCTCCCCTTAACAGGGAGATCAAAACTTGACACAGTATTCCAGAAGAGGCCTCATCAATGTCTTGTACAACATCAACATAGCGTCCCAACTCCTAGACTCAAAAGGTCTGAGCAATGAAGGGAAGTGTGCTAAAGGCCTTCCTAACCACCCTATCTATACGTGATGCAAACTTCAAAGTATTATGTGCATGAACCCCTAGGTCTCTCTGTTCTACAACACCACACAAGCTCCTACTTTTAATTGTATAACTATAATTGCATAAGTACTATAATTATATAAATTAGCACAGTAGATTTGTTGTGGATTACAAATCCTAATTAAGGAACTGTTAATGGGAAGCATCAAGAGGAATATAATGCTTGCATACAAAGTGTACCTCAATCCACTCTAGAGGGAACACCTCAAAGAAATCCAGTAGAATCACACGTCATAGTTTAGAAATAAAGGGTCACCCATTTAAAACACAGACAAGGAAATATTTTTTTTCCTCTCTGAAGGTTGACAGTCTTTGGAATTCCCTTCCTCAAAAGGCATTTTTTATTTATTTTAAGGCAAAGGCACATAGATTCTTGATTAGAAAGGGAATGAGAGATTGTTGGGGTTATACAGGAACACATAAGCTCACTCACATTCCCTCACTCACAGCTGTAAAATATGCAGGATGTTACACAGGGGAAGGTGATGGCCTAGTGGCATTATCACTATTATTAACTAATCCAAAGATCCAGGTAATGGGCAGCATGGTGGCACAGTGGTTAGCGCTGCTACCTCACAGAGCCAGGGACCCGAGTTAGATTCCAGATAAAAACCAAAAGAACTGCGGATGCTGTAAATCAGGAACAAAAACAAAGTTGCTGGAAAAGCTCAGCAGGTCTGGCAGCATCTGTGGAGGAGAAAACAGAGTTAACATTTCGGGTCCGGTGACCCTTCCTCAGACCCTTAGATTCCAGACTCGGGCAACTGTTTGTGCAAAGTTTACACATTCTCCTCTGTGTCTGCGTGGGTTCCCTCCTAAAGCTTGGGTTTCCTCCCACAGTCCAAAGATGTGCAGATTAGGTAGACTGGCCATGCTAAATTGCGCATAGTGCCCAGTTATGTGCAGGCTGGGTGGATTAGATATGGGAAATACAGAGTTACAGTGATAGTTATGGGCTATCCTGTGGCCATGAAATTGTTGCCAATTGTCAGGAAAAACCATCCAGTTCACTAATGTCCCTTTAGGGATGGAAATCTGCTGTCCTTACCCAGGTCTGGCCTATGTCTGGCTCCAACTGCCTGGTTGGCTATTAACTGCCTTCTGGGCATTTACAGATGGGCAATAAATGCTCAGCAACACCCAGATCCTGTTAATGAGTTTTTAAAAGAAAACTTAATGCTGCTGCAAGTAGCATGGCTTTGACTTTCTGTAACAGTAAGCTACAATATTGTCATCATCCCATAGGAGAAAATGAAAAGTTCAATTGGAGGCAAAGACAGAGACAAATCGAGAACAAGCAAGGACAGTGGTCAATCTAGGTAACAAAGAGTAGAAGATGTGGGGACACGTACCGGCATCGATAGCAATGGTGCGTGCCTCCACTTTGTCGCCCATTCTCCGCACCACTTCTGGGCTGGGTCCAATGAAGCGTACTCCTGCATCTACACATGCCTGTGCAAAGTCCGCTCTCTCTGACAAGAATCCGTAGCCCGGGTGAATGGCATCCACTTCATTTTCCTGAGTGCAACCAGGAAACGACATTGCACTTTTGTCAGAACGAAGCAAGGAACGCTCAGTGTTTAAAATTAAAAACCGCCTCAGCTGACCACCTCTCTTTTCACCCCTGACACACCACACCTCTCCATTCCATTCCCCGCACCTTCCCTCACCCAATTTCCTGTCTCCACCCCACCCTCAAAGCTGCACCCCTATCTCTCCCACTCGCACCCTTCCCTTGCCACATCCCGCTCCTCAAGCTGTCTCAACACGTACCCATCATTTTTCTGGGCGCTCCCCACCCTGACGTTGTCAGACCATGTCAGAAGAGGAAAGGACAGCGAGGCCCAGAATGGGCCCCTTGCTGTTCCAGGTCACAATCCTCAGGCCTGGCCTGCTTTTCCACCCACCACCCAAGTGTCACCACATGCCCCCCCACCCGTATACACCGGGGCCCAGGGACACCCCAGGTCAACGAACCCATCAACACCCTGGTGCAGGTGGGAAGGAGAAGAAACAGATGCATGAACAAGACCGACAGAGCCCTCTGCAATGTGGAGGCCCTCCCAAATGAAGTGGCTATGTGAGGCCTGTTTGTCTTGCAAATAAACCAAGCCATGAAGGTGCAAGTAACAATTCCGACCCTCAAATCCAAAAACCAGCCCCAACAGGAGGAGGAAAATACTTGCCTTGGCTACTTTGATGATGTCAGGAATGTGCAGGTAAGCCTGGACAGGGGGGAGACCCTTTCCGATCAAGTAGGCTTCGTCGGCCTTCTGCCTGTGCATCTGCCCAGTGTCCTGTTCCGAGTAAACAGCCACAGTGCGGATCCCGAGCTCCGTGCAAGCTCGAAACACTCTGGTCGCTATCTCACCTGAACGCAGACACAAGGAGGAGAAGTCATACAAGAGCATTAGGGACAGGTGGAGGCCATTCAGCCCCTCTGACCTGCTCCACCATACTTGGACACATGTCAACGCACATACCAACACACTCATTAGGGGCAGGATAGCCCATTTGACCCTCAAGCCTGCTCCCACCATTCAATAAGATCCTGGCTGATCTGTCCGTAACCTCGACTCCACTTTCCAGCCTGATAACCACTGACTCCCTCTAGTCAACAATCTACCTATCTCTGGAACTCCATGTCCACCACTTTCGGGGAACAGCATTCCAAAGTCTCACCACCCTCTGGAAGAAAAATTACTTGCTCAGCTCTCTCTTCGAAGGAGGAGTGTGATTTTTAAGGCATATCCTCTAGTTCAAGACACACACCCGCCTTCCCATCCCAGGAAAGGAAAACAACCTCTTAGCATCTAGCCTGCGAAGTTTCCTCAGGATCTTATACGCATCAATAAAATCAGCTCACACTCTAAGCCACAACGGCTACAGGCCCAGCTTGTCCAACCTTTCCTCATAAAAGGTAATCACCACCTCATCCCAGGATTCTGATGATTGAACCTCTCTGATCTGCTTCTAATGCCCTTAAAAGGAGGCCAAAACAGTACACACTACTCCCAATATGATTTCACCCATGCTCTGTACAAATGTCCCTAACTTGTATAATTCTTTCATTTACATCTTAGCCGAGCTGCGTCTTAGCCCTATTCACCTACCTTTGTTCCGTATTCCTGAACACTCCCACTGAACAGAATCTGATCAATCTCATCCATTCAGGTCATCCTAACTTTCTACTGATGCCCATCCTATCCTGCTCTTGGACATCCATCTATCAGTAAGGAAATACTTCCACTTTATCTACCGTGCCAACTACTTAAATATCATGACACTTAAAATCTTCTGTGTATAAGCAGCTTAGTCAATGCAACTTGCTTGCACAATGTGATGCTTTTTGTTTTGCATTTTATCACCATTTATCATTCTGGTGAAACTGCACTGCATCTCCTTCAAGACTAATAAATCTTTCTGAAGGTACAGAGCCCAGAACTGAACACAGCTGCTCCAGATGGGCTCTGGCAAATTGCTTTATTAAATTTCAATAATTGATGATACACTGAGCAGGCCAACAATGGAGCAAAACAGATGGCGACAGGATGGGCATTTAGAAACCAGAGACACACACACAGATGTGCGGAGCGCTTCAATGAGGTGGCTAGAGATCTGGGGACGAGCTCAGTATATGATGCAATCGGTGAAAAAACACAAAGAAAACAATGACTCAAAGCCAGTGGGTGAAAATCTTGCTTGGTCAGCTGATAAACTTGGTTGGGCCAATGAATGGCAGCCTCAAAAAGGGCTTCACTTACAAATTCTCAATGCACTAGGGCGGCACAGTGGCTCAGTGGTTAGCAGTGCTGTGTTACAGCACCAGGGACCCGGGCTTGTTTCCACCCTTGGGTGACTGGCTGTCTGTGCAGAGCTTGCACCTTCTCCCTGTGTCTGTATGGGTTTCCCCTGGGTGCTCCGGTTTCCTCCCACACAGTCCAAAGTTGTGCAGGTGAGGTGGATTGGCAACACTAAATTAACACATAGCATCCAGGGTCGTGAGGGAGAGGTGGGTTAGCCATGGGAAATGTGGGGTTATGGAGATAGTGTGGTATGATCTTTGGTGGGTCGTGTAGGCTAGATGGGCCGAACTTTCTGCCCTGTAGGGATTCCATGATCAAATTCCCCCTTCACAGCCACACAGTCTGGGCAATATAGATGTAAAAAAAGTACAAGTCAGTGAGTGATCATGACTAGATATGGGGAGGGGACAGCAAAGCTCTACTGGCTCAATAGCTACTCCAATCAGACCTGTCGTTCATTGTGCATCACATAAACAGGCCAGAGACTGGCTTCCCATCAGTCCTGGAAAAAAAGTGTCCCTGGAAATGCAGAGTACATCAAGAATTTAAAGCAGGTCAAGCAAGCGAATTCAGGCTGCTACTATGCAGTGGTATTTTCCAGTCTGTCCAAAAGGCGGTCTGCTTACTACACAAAGTCCCAGAGAAACTGAAAAACTGTCAATGTTTATTGAATAAAGGAAGACAATAAAAAAATACAGGTAACATTAGCTGGACATCTGTTATAGGGAAAATGCCAGAGTCTATCATAAAGGATGTAATGGCAGAGCATTTAGAAATGCATAATATCATCAAGCAAAACCTGCATGACTTTACAAAAGGGGAAATCATGTATGACAAATTTACAAGAATGTTTTGAGGAGATAACAAGCAGTATAAAGGGAAAGTAATGGATCTAATATATTTGAATTTTCATGAAGTGTTTGATATAGTGCCATAGGCCGATCAGGATTCACTTGCCAAACAATCAGCACCTTTTGTGAAATACAAACATAAATTGCTTGATCACTGAGTCATTGGTTTGTATGGTACAGAAACAGATCCTTCGGTCCAACTCTTCCATGCTGACTAGATATCCTAGATTAATCTAGTCCCCTTTGCCAGCATGTGGCCCATATCCCTCTAAACCCTTCCTATTCATATACCCATCCATGTGCCTTTTAAATATTGTAATTGTACCAGCCTCCACCACTTCCTCTGGCAGTTTGTTTCATACACGCACCACCCTTTGCATGAAAAAGTTGCCCCTTAGGTCCCTTTAAAATCTTCTCCCTCTTACCTTAAACCTGTGCTGTCTAGTTTTGGACTTCCCTACCCTGGGAAAAAGACCTTGGCTATTTGCCCTATCTGTGGCCCCCATGATTTATAAACCTCTAGAAGAAGGTCACCCATCAGCCTCCAACGCTCCAGGGAGAATAGCCCCACCCTATTCAGCCTCTCCCAGTAGTTCAAACCCTCCAACCCTGGCAAAATCCTCGTAAATCTTTTCTGAACCCTTTCAAATTCATCAACATCTTTCCTACAGCAGGGAGACCAGAATTAACACATTATTCTAAAATTGACATTCTTGCAATTGTTGAATGCATGACAAAAAGCATTAGAAAGATATGTCTTTTCAACCATGTTCAACTTGTGCATGCATGCATAGTTCTGTACTACCATGAGACTTTCTCGTAATCATGTGGAACCTGTCAATGAGAACACACTTAGATTATGTTACGTAAATCGATTTGTGTGCTTGCTCAGTCAAATGTCAGCTTCGAGTCTCTTTTTTGCCTTCTTACCTCTGTTAGCTACCATCACTTTCTTGATGGGCTTGTAGTCCTTGTGTTGAGTGCTTTGATGAGCAGCATTTAGCACAACTATCCGTCTGACCCCCAGGAAGCTGAAGCCCCCTTTTACAATTCGTAGCTGAAACATCTGTAGTCAAAGCAGAGACAAAAGATTTTATTTTTAAAATGTCGGCATTGATGAAGGACACATGCTACTAAGACGTTTCATCTTCTGCTCATTTGGACAGAATCACAAGAATATCAAGTCACCAAGGGAACAACAATTTACTCTGCATTGGAAGAGGGAGTGCTGACTGGTTATCAAGTAGACTCTGAAGGGTAAAGGGGTTATCACGGAGAATGTACCAGGGAAGAATTAACTGCCAAGTCATAATCTGATATTTCATGACTTGCACAAATAGATGCAAGCCGCAGCCCAAAAAAAAAAGAAATCAACATCACCTAGTTCCAAGCCAGAGTTTGGTAGTGGCTGGAAGGTGGCATTCCTGGTCTCAGAAGTGTGAATGAGCAAAGGCAGGAAAAGTGCAATAAGCATTTGGAGCCAATTTCATAAACCTTCTGGGACTCACTCACCACAGAATTGGAATCAAATCAAGAGAAAATATTGCAAGGTAAATACATTTAAACAAAAAACTTCAAATGTATCACCTAATGAATCTGTCAGTAAACAGCTAACGTCTTTACAACTATTACATGACTTTCCTTTGTTTTCTTTAAAGTTTTGTTTCCATCTGATCATGGAAAGCGGGTGTCATTGGCTATTCTAGCATTATCACCCATCCCTAATTGCTGTGGAGAAACTGATGGCAAAGGTGCACCCACAGATTTGTTATTAATGGCACAGGGTGTAGTTAAACCTGCATAAAATACCGGTTCACCCTCAACTGGAGTACTGTGTTCCAGTTTTGGGTGTAGCACTTCAGGAGGCATGTGAAGGTATTAAAGAGAGCGCAGGAGAGATTCACAAGAATGGTTGCTGAGATGAGGAATTTCAGTTACAAAGGTTGGGCTGAAGAATTGGGGACAGCTCTTATAAAAGAGAAGCTTGATCGAATAAAAAGAAACACCAAATATAATCTGCAATCAAAAAATTATTCAAAATAATCAAATATACTAGACTAATACCTAAAATGAAGGATAGATATGACAAGTTACATGAATCTTGGATGACCAGGAACGTTATAACCTTCGTCAGAAAGAAAAAGGAAGCACACGTAAGGTCTAGGAGGAAGGGAACCGATGAAGCCCTTGGAGTATACAAGGGAAGTAGGAAAGAACTTAAACAAGTAATTTGAAGGACTAAGAGGGGTCATGAAAAGTCGTTAGCAAACAGGATTAAAGGAAATACCCAAGGCTTTTTATACATATATAAAAAGCATGAGAGTAGCCAGGGAAAGGGTTGGCCCACTCAAGTAGAAAGGAGGGAATCCATGATCCAGAAAGGGAGGTGAGGTCCTAAATGAATACTTTGTCAGTATTCATCAAAGAAAAGGATTTGGTGCAGGATGATCTCAGGGAAGGGAGTGTCGAGTTTCTAGGCCAAGTTGCTATTAAAAAGGAAGAGGTGTCGTGTGTCTTAAAAAGTATTAAGATAGATATTTCCCTGAGTCCTGATGGGATCTATCCCAGAATATTGAGTGAGGCAAGAGAACAAATTGCTGGAGCATTGACAAACATCTTTGTATCCTCTTTGGCCACAGGGGAGGTCCCAGAGGACTGGAGAATAGCCAATATTGTCCCACTGTTTAAGAAGGGTAGCAGGGATAATCCAGGAAATTACAGGCCTGTGAACCTCACGTCAGCAGCAGGGAAATTATAGGAAAAGATTCTCATGGACATGATCTATAAGCATTTAGAAGCACACGGACTGATTAGCGATAAACAGCGTGGTTTTGTGCGGGAGAGGTCATGCCTCACTGACTTGGTCGAGTATTTTGAGGTGGTGAACAAGATGATTCATGAGGGAAAAGCTGTTCATGTTGTCTACATGGACTTCAGTAAAGCTTTGAGAAGGTCCCTCATGCCAGACTGATACAAAAGGTGAAGTCACATGGTATCAGGGATGAGTTGACAAGGTGGATACAGAACTGGCTTAGTCATAGGAGACAGAGTAGCGGTGGAAGGATGTTTTTCAGAATGGAGGGCTGTGACCAGTGCTGTTCCACAGGGATCAGTGCTGGGACCTCTGCTGTTCATGATCTACATAAATAATTTGGAGGAAAGTGCAGCTGGTCTAATTGGTAAGTTTGCAGATGATAAAGATTGGTAGAGTTGCAGATAGTGAGGAGGATTGTCAGAGAATACAGCAGGATACGGATTAGTTGGAGGCATGGGCAAAAAAATAGCAGGTGGAGTTGAACCCAGTCAAATGTGAGTTAATGCATTTTGGAAGGTCAAGTACAGGTGGAATGGTAGAACCCTTAGCAGTATGGATATGCAGAGGGATCTGGGTGTGCGGGTCCATAGATTACTGAAGGCAGCAGCGCAGATAGAAAAGATCGTAAAAAAGGCTTATGGCATGTTTTCCTTCATTGGAAGGGGCACTCAGCATAAGGGCAGACAAGTTATGCTGCAGCTTTACAGAACTTTAGTTAGGCCATACTTGGAATATTGCATAGAGTTCTGGTCACCACGCTACCAGAAGTATGTGGGTGCTTTGGAGAGGATACAGAAAAGGTTTACCAGGATGTTGCCTGGTATGGGGGAATTTTAGCTATGAAGAAAGCTTGGATAGACTGGGCTTGTTTTCACTGGAACGCAGGAGGTTGAGGGGTGACCTAACAGAAGTTTAAAACATTGTGAATGGCATGGATAGAGTGGAAAGTATGAGGCTTTTTCCCCAGGATAGAGGGGTCAATTACTAGGGGACAGAGGTTCAACATGCAGGGGAAGAGAAGTTCAAAACAGATGTGTGAGGCAGGTTTTTCACACAAAGGATAGTGTGGCAGCATTCAAGAAGCACCTGCTTGAATATATGAATAGGAAGGGAATAAAAGGGATATAGATCCTGTAAGTGAAGACAGTTTTAGTATGAAAGGGCAAGATGTGTAGGCACAAGCTTGGAGGGCCGAAGGGTCTGTTCCTGTGCTGTGCTGTACTGTTCTGTTTTTTTTTTAATTTTATTTTCTCTCAGAGGGCTGAGAGTCTTTGTAATTTCCTTCCTCAAAAGGCACTGGATGTAGAAACTTTAAATATTTTTAAGGCAGAGGTAGACAGATTCTTGATTACCGAGGGTGTGAAAGATTATTGAGGTGGGTGGGGGGGGTTATGCAGGAACGCAGAGTTGAAGTTAAAATCAGATCAGCGGTGATCTTACTGAATGGCAGAGCAGGCTCATAGTGCCAAGTGACCTTGTTCAGTAGATGAACTTTCCAATCAGAAGTCTGTCAAAGTCCAACATTCGCATTACTCAAGCGGGGCATAGCAACACTTAATTTCACTCTGACAATACAGGAAAAACTTGTGCAACTTGGCGCTTGGCACTGTAGAGATCAGGGAACCTCTGCCATTATGGTACTGGATCTAAATTAAACAAATGTGTTTAAATGGAGAACAGTGTTTTGTGGGTGGGTGATCATGAGTGAATGTGTAGAGTGCGATAAGTCGGTGGAGCTGATCAGACAAGTCACAAATAAGCTTTTAGCAAGAGCCCACATTACCTCCAGTAGCAGAATCGCTGCACTGACCTTCGCAGCTTAGTTCACGTTCGATAAAGCCTTCTGTCCCACAAGGTTGAGAGGTTCCTTAGGAACCTCCTGATCTGTTCTGATACAACTTGCCTCTGTGGTCACTAACCCTAAACCGCTTTGAAAGAGATTAGATCATATTCTTCTACAATATTCCAGAGGGAATCCATATTTAAGGATCTGGTTCCCATTGAAAGTGTCAGGAATCAATCAGCACTCCTGGCCGCAGGATCTCACAGAGTTATGGAGTTTGTACATCACAGAAACAGACCCTTTCGTCCCAGTCACGCCAACCAGATATCCTACATTAATCTAGTCCTGTTTGCCAGCATTTTACGCATGTCCCTCTAAACCATTCCTATTCAAATATTCAGCCAGAAGCCTTTTAAATGTTGCAAATTGTACCAGCCTCCACCAGCTCATTTCATACGCGCACCACCCTCTGCGTGAATAAGTTTCTCCTTAGATCCCTTTTAAATCTTTCCCATCTCAACTTAAACCTATGCCCTCTAGTTTTGGACTCCCTACCCTGGGGGGGAAATAAAACTTCGCCATTCACCCTATCCATGCCCCTCAATTTTATAAATCTCCAATAAGGTAACCCCTAGGCCTCCAATGCTCCAGGGAGCCCCAGCCTATTAAGCCTATAGCACAAACCCTCCAA